GGAAGCCCTTCCGGGTGGGTAGCATCTCAACAAAAGCACTAGTAGCCGTGGCTGCCAGGCTAGCCAGCTTCACAGACCCTCGGGGTGTTGGTCCATTTCCCTGCACCTCTTCTCTAAGGAAGAAACTGAAGGTAAAAGAAGGCCCCAGTCAAGTTACCGACACAGAATGAGTGACCAGACCTGGCCATGAGGAAGGTGTCTCTGGGCTGTGAAGGATGGGAAAAGAGGGTGGGGTTAATGATATTAACTTAAGGATCGTTAGGGGCTTCATTTCTTCCAACAGTTGAGTTTTCCTGCAGACATTTTTCGTTTGAATTGGTGCCAGACAGCCAAGCAGTGTTACGACTCACTGGTAATAGGTGTGTCAGTAAGCCCAAGGACTGCAAAGGAGGATTGAGGCCCTGTGTAGCTCCAGAGGGATTTCCCAAGTGGATGAGTTCTGCACTAACTAAAGAGACACAGAATGAGCTGGTTTAGAATCTCTTAATTTGTACTATATTTAGAAGTGAACTTTAGGCCTGACACCCTTCACTTCTCACAAGAGATTCAGTCTGCTTAGGAGGGAAAAGAAAGTTTTGTAGGTACTGAAGGGAGGGAGGCTCCAGGAGCGCTGGCATTGCTCTTTCTAAGAGCCATTGAAAGTTCAGGATGAAGAAGTTTTTAAAAAGCTGATCTGAATAAATCCAATGGAAATTGTGACAGTGTGTTTCTGTGGTCAACATCCTAAAACAGAATATTAAAAGTGCCTTCTGTCTTCAATCCTTAAACCAAATATTTTGTGTGTTGAACTCAGCAGGCAGAAGTGTCCTTGCTTTTTTTGCCCCCCACATGAATGGAATAGAAAAACTCGAAGTCTCCAGAAAAGCACTGCATGTGGTCATTCTGGTCCTTCAGCTGAGTAGTAGCAGTAGCATGGGTTCCAGTTCTGTTAGCCATCGTGTCCAAGTGTAGCTGACTGGACTTGGGGAATTAATGAATGAAGCTGGAGGGCAGAGAGCAGGCTTGGAAGGTCAAAATCTGCAGAGTCGGCAACAGTGGGGTAATTTTTGTCAGCTAAAGTCTCTCAGTTCATGAAATCAGTGGCGTTTTCTGCCCTCCAAACAGGTATATTAGGGATCTGGATGTATACTCTAAACTCCAAACCGATTTATTTAAAAATGGCCTAATCCAGTTGGAACAAAAACTTCCTTTTCCTGTGAATGTGAATGTTTAAAGAACAAATTTCTTCTCTGAATTTCTTGTACTCTAATGGTTTAAGAACACTAGGAGATGATGATGCTTGAATGTCAATGATCTTTTTGGGAGGAGAGTATTGATACATTTGTGAAAAATAACAGTTTCAGTTTTGCTAAGGCAATACACTGAAATTCCCTTATCTGAGTTTTTGGAGGAGATGGTCTAATGATTAAGAGTGCTATGGTGAAATTACATCAGGTAGGAAGCACTCTGCACGTTCCTGTCCCAACTCGAGACTGTTTTCCACAACATTTTGTGTGAACCATCAGTGTACACTTCAAACTTCTCTTGCTGTTTAGGTCTCTCTCAGCCAGCTTGAACTTTGACGAGAGGACACGAGTCTAACATTCAGCTGGGACCCTTATGGCTTTCTTTTCTTTTCCTCTCATAAGCCTTAGGGGGAACACCACTGGTTAATATATTGTGTAGAAGTTATGTTAATACATTCCTGTGACTAGTAGACTTAATGTGCTTTTTCTCCACAAAAGAGATGAATATGTGCTGCTTGATGTACGAGCTTATCATTCATTGTAAACTGTCTCTATAAGCACCTGTACTCATAGTAAGAATCTTGATTTCATGATTTATTTTGCCCTCGATTAACCCTGCCCCCCCGCCCCCCCCCCAGTAAAAGCCATCATATTTGTCAAATGTAAATGTTGCTGTAGACTGGAAAAGCATTTTGTATTGCATGTTTTGTTTTAGCCTGCTAACCTGACTTGCCAACATCTTTGAAGAATGGGTTAGGGAAAAGATAATTTTAAAAACTCCTAGGTTTTTTTTTTTAAAGCAGGGTCTTTTGTAGTTCATATATTATTGGTGAATTGACTCAGAACAATTGAAGATCTCTTACACACTTTTTGTAAGTCTTGAATGTAATTTGATAAAATGGTTAAAAAAGCTGTAGCAGGATTACAAATTCTAGGGGGTCTGGGGGAGGTTTGGGATTGTTTTTTTTTTCTTTCCCCTTTCTGTTTTTGTCGTCTGATGTTGTCTGGGGTGAGAACCTTTTCTCTTCTGGTGAAATAGCTCAGGGTTAACCAGTTGTGTGCCAGGAATTGTACTTGTATTTCATGCAACTTCTCATTAAATCCGTTATTACTAAGAGTCCCAGAGTGTGTGGACTTGACTGTTTTCAGACAGAAGAGCAAAAAATTAATAAAAAGTTGGCTGCCAGAAATCTTAGGATTTCATGGGTTACAGGCACATAGGATAAGGCAGAAAATGACAAAGACTAAACCCTGACTGGCTTCAGCTCTCGTGGTTTTATGTCGCCATGGATGAGCAAAAAGCATCAAGAGTCTTCAGTTCTTGTAGAATCTGGGATCTGTGCTACTTGCTTGTGATGGAATTGGAAAGTTTTTGGGGAAATTCTCAGACTGACAGTATTGTTGGCTGGACGAGTTCAGCTGATGATCAGTGTTAGACCAATACTGACATATTTAAAGGGGACAAACACTTTCCCTCCTCCCACCTTTGATGCCTCTTCGAAGGAACAACTCGCATCTGGAAGGGGCAACGTGAACACCGGCCTCCCTTGACCATCAGAACTGTCCCCGTCTTGATGCTTCAGCCAGCCATGAGGGCTTTGAACTTTGGTGGACTAAACCTCAATAAATCATCTGATAAACCATGACTCTGGTTTGGCCAACCTTGTTTAAACGTGATCCTTACATTGGTCCAGAGAAGGTGGAGTGTTCCATTTCTGTAAAACTGGCTTAAAGCATGGCCTCAGTATTCGGCATGGGTTGATCTGTTATAGTGCATTCCACTGGAAATATTTATTACTAGTGCTTTAATCTCCAAAGTAAACATTCATTTAAAGCAGAGGCACCAGGCAAATACTCCTTTGAACAACATTGATATATTCTGTGAAAGAGATTTGGGACACAATTTTTCTAACTGGTAGAAAAAAGATAATAACCCTGTAAATATGTAAGAATGCTCATTTGTTGCACATAAACTTTTTGGTATAAAATAAATGTCAACATTTCCTGTGGAAGTCTTTGCTGCAATCATTCTTAGCCTGCAGTTCTGCATTTCCAGTCAGGAGCTTGGGTGAACCTAAACACAGAGGCCTTTGGGGCTTTAGGAGGAGCCTTAGATGCTTTTAAAAAAAAAAAAAAGTCGATACTTTTCTAGAAATGTACTAAGTTGTGATTATTCATTTTTTAAAAATTGATTTGTAAAGAGGTTGAACTGTTGAGTCCATAGAGATCCAAGTTCCTGGAATTTCTGCCATTTTATTATGTGATGTAAGTGTGTGGTTGTCTGGAGTCAAGAATCCATGACTTTAAGGTGTTACTGTTTATAATGCTTCAAGTCTACAGAAATGTGTTCGGTGGTTTTCTTTTTTTAGATTCATAGCTTTGGGTTCATGCAATTTGGACAGTGTTACAGTCTTCAAAAGTGGCAGTGTCCCTTTCTTTTGATGAAAAATGGCATGGCTTTTAAGCATTTTGAAATCTGTGCTTAGAACATTTGCCTTTGTAGTTGGGATGGATGTTGTTTTTGCTCTCCCGATGCCCCAGGCCCAGTGAAATGGGACAGCTCCTTAATTTGTAAAGCATTCATCATAGCGGTTGTGATTGGTGTCATTTTTGATGTGACTCTTGTAGGCTAATGGTTTTAGTATGTGACTTTGTCAGTGTTGAAATAGTGTGGAATGTGATGCTCTTTGAGAAGCGTCATGGCATTGTGTCACTGGTGACAGAAGAAATGTATGGTTCTTTGGAAGACCAACTAAGTGCTGTTTTGATGGTGCTGGCCTTGTTTTGAAAGGCTGGCTAGCATAGTAAATGAGTCACTGCTTGGGAAAGCAAGGCTAAGGTGGGTATTAGGGAAGACTTACTTAATTCATCACATCGACTTTCATTTTGAGCAATATTTGATTGCTTCTGTCATTCATCTGATCTGATCCCCATATTGTATAGATGAGGAAACTCAGGCTTCTTCCCATGTGTTTGTAAAATACTGTCTTCTAAGAATGGGGAGAGGGTAGGTTGTTGACTTAAGAGACGGAAGTTTGTGAGAGTAGCCCCCTTTCAAATTCTCTGTTCTGTAGATAGAGTTAGTCATCATGGACTAGCAGACTAGAGCCTTAGGCTTATCTTCTTATTTCCTTCCCCCCAGCACTAAATAGAGCAATGGTGGTCGCAGTGATTGATAGAGGCTTCTTGGATAAAAGGGCCTCCTTTATGAACAGTTATTTCAAGAGACCAATGAAGAGGCATCCAGGACTCAAAAGGCAGGTAGGTGGCTGTTGGAGTGGATAAGAGTGTGGAATTCAGAGTTGGAAGGACCTGAGTTCACATCCTACCTCACAGACACTTGCTAGGCAAGTCACTTACCCTCTCTGGGCCTCAGTTTTGTCATTTGCAAAATGAGATTGGACTGTATGGCCTTCCAGTTCTTAATATATGGTTCTATAATTGGGGAAGTCACTATCACCTTCCCAAACCTCATTCTCCTAATCTTCAAAAAGAAGATAAGGATAATTGCACTACCTATAACACAGGGTTGTGAAGAAGAGTGATGTATAATCGAAAACTCTTTTTATTGTTGGCTTCTAAGAGGGCAGAAAGGGAAGAGGTGAAGAATTGTGGAGGCCTTGACTTCTAATGAATTCTCTTAAAAAGATGGGGCTGTGAACCTCAGTAAAGACAATGTGAAGTCAGTGTCCCCTTCACATTGTACCATTTAGGGTGTCAGTCCTCATGAAGTTCAGTCATAGTTGTAAAGAAGAAAAACCAATGTCTCTTAGGTGTTATTTTTAAATTCTCATTTATTTCATCCTGGCCAGTCTGGTGGTATCCAGGGTGGAGGAAAATGTACTACCTCTGTGTTAAGGGACCAGGCTTTGCTTTTGTGTTAGCACAGGGCTGTTGTTGGGAAAACATACAGTTTTGTAACAACATACCATTAGTACTGTGTAGTCATTAAAACACTCTGATTTTAAGAGTCTGTCTGCACAAGGCATATGAGAACAAGGCACATTAATCTGTCAAACTGGTTTCAAATTCTTTTCAGCCATATTTTTTCATGCAAGTCCTCCCACTTATGGATAGTCAGTTCTTAAAACTTGCATTTCTGTTCTGGAAAAAGGTCTCATTTCATACTTGACAGTATCCCATCTTGCAGAACATTATCAAAAAGCTCCATGTCTTCCCACCCCCTCACCAGAAGGTGTAGTTTATAATCCTGTCTGCTGGGGCATCCCAGAGTCCATTGCAAATCAAGCAGCGCCCCCCTCCCTGGCAGGTTTCTTCCCTGGTCCATAGAACAGTTCTTGTCCTTTAGACAAGGGAGTAAAAAAATTGATTTTCCAAATACTGTGGAGTCACTGCTAAGTGAGGATACATGGTTTCATTGGCGATTTTCCAGTATCGTTCTCTCAGAAGGAATGCTGAACCTTTGGGTTGTCGCTGTCGGGTGAAGATTCCCTTCTTATTCCCGACCACTCTCTGTGGTGCTGAAAACGAGGCAAAAAGCAGAGTGAAGGACTTTTGTTAATCTTCTCCACTGTTGCGTATAGATGGATAGATCCTAACTCACCAGCCTTAAAACTGAACTGGGCAGGGACAGTTTTTAAGCTCAGAAAACCACCAGATTGAAAAAAAACCCCAACCAAACCAAAGTAGTAATGAAACGCCTCATGGTGCCAGTAGGCTATCCCAAGTCAGGTCGTACTGAGGCTGACTCAAGGCTTAGTTAACGGTAGTATGCCCCAACCAACACTAGAATAGAACATTCTAATCGGGCCCCTTGAGCAGAAAATTCAAAATGAGCCCCAAGCAGTTGGGGATCTACTGGTTGGCGCTGCTCTGGGCACCACCCCAGGGTTCTCCGTGAACTCACTGTGAACCTGTAAACTGTCTCTGATCAGAAACCTGACTGTGAGCATGGGCTTGAGAATCTGATTAACGGAATACCAGCTGCTCTGCATGAAGGGGTTGGGGACTCCGAACTGGCACAGAAGCTGCTTACACCAAGTCAAACAGAGGGTTCTGTCTCTTTATCTCTTCTCCCTCTTCACTCTCTTCCTTGTCCTTTTGTAGCCTTATTCCCCCCCCCCACTTTCTTTGTTATTTAGCTGAGCTTTAATACTTAAATGTGCTTTAATGACCATGTCTTCCTCTTCCACCCAGTCCATGATATATCACGGCATATTTAGGCTTCTAGAAATATTACAGGAATTCAGAAATAAGAGTTTTACTTTCCTGGAGGATTTAACCAAAACTACAGTTTTATACCTTTGCTGGGAAAAAAAAAAAGATACAAGCACATACTCCATTTTATTTTGTTTTGGCTAGGGCCTGTTTAGCTGAAAATGAGGTATTTCTTTGAAACCATACCTTTGTCAAACAGGTGTCTGTCCCTTCAAATGAGCTTTGGAAAATGAACTGAGTATTTTTCAACACTGTTGAAAATTAGTGTTATCTCAGACCATAGAGGAGCAGTGTAGTCTAAAGGATAGAATCAGCCGAGGAATCTAGAAGATCTGGGTTCAAGTTCTGCCTGTTACATATACTGGCTGTGTGACCCTGGACAAGTCACTTAGCTCTGGTCCCCCAGGCAACCCCAAGACTAGATTTTGTAGAACAGGATTTGCATTAGGAAAGGGAGTTTACTTATCAAAAGAAACTACCTCACAGCAGTAAAAAAAAAAAAATGTATGGGTCTGGGTGATTAGAGCTACCCCCCCAAAAAAAAAAGTTTGTAGTAGAAAAGATGCTACTCTAAGGTAACCTCTGGTTCATTTCTCTCATGTTCTACCCACCTCCCACCAAAAAAGGGGAAAAAGATCAGTGGGATTTATCAGCTTCAGGACAATGGATGTGTTCAAAAAGTAAGATGACAGCTGAGTTTAGCAGTGAGTGACTCATGCTACCATCATTATAAGACAGACTGACCCAAATACTGGCTTTTCTACCCCAAAATGCTTTCAAGTTTGGTTAAAGGTTTGCAATCTGAGTTACAGAGAAAGCACCTCGGATTCCCAGATTTCCCTATCCAATTGTCCACACACTCTACTGTGTCTCCCTGCCGTGACTTGGTAGTGGTGTGTTTGTAACTAAGGAGAGGTAGCAGTTGCAGAAGACAGGCAGGGCCACTCACATTGGTCCGTCATGAAATCAGCAAAATTCCAAATAAGCTCTCCAATCACGTAGTCTTTGCGTTTTTGGTCCAGAGCCAAATGATACTGCTGCAGCACAAATTTCTGATATTCTTCACTGAACATCAGAGGAGGGTCCTAAATAGCAGAGATGGAGAGGAGGGAAGGTGGAGGTCATTGGTGGGAGCTGGCAAGGTCCCAGTGTCTATGAAAGTTGGTAGGTCTTCGCCATTGTCCACGTCTCTGCCCTCATGACAAGCTGTCAAGGCAGCCATGCAGCCTTTGGATGCTACACCGTGCATCCGTGCAAGGAGCCTTTGAGAGCCTTGTGTAGTGCAGTGGCCGCGCCTCACTTCAAAGGCTTCGTTTTGTTTGCTGGCTGTGTGAAAGCACAAAGAATGTCCGCATGTAGCAACCTGGATTTTTGTGTGTCAGGTAAGATCCGAGGAGTTGCTCATGCATGCATCATGACTTGGCAGACTTGAGTGAGTCTAGATTTCACACTGCCCTGCTGTGCTGGTGCCATGTTCAGCTTATACAGCAAAGACCATGAATTGACCGACTAGAAGCACAGGCTAGTTAACTCCTGACAACAGCTTTTATGAGGTGTTTGTTGCCAGGGTGTTTGCTGGACAAAGAACGAAGAGCAGCTATGCCTGAAAGCAGACTGGGGAGGGGGGGTGGTCCTCCATGGAGCAAACAACCTGCCCTAACATGGACACAGATGGTTTTCAAGGTTGTTGGAGTTTCCCGAGACCTCAGTGCTGCCCGTTATCACCTCATAACCCTGATGGTGAGTTGAGCCGGATGCATTTGCCAAGAGGAGGGCTGGAATTCCAAGATCCTAACTGACTCTTGGCTTCTTGGCAGCTAAGGGCGTTGGAAGTGAGGCTGGCTGCAACAGAGGGGGCCCCCCTCCATTTGGTGTCTCTGATGCCTCCACAGAGGAGACCCAAGAACCACGTTTTCAGTAGTGGAGAGCAAAGGCCATGATTTTCTCTGATGATTTATCCCAACTAGAGAGAGTCCTGACCTAGTACCAAAGGTTGCCTTGAAGCACAGAATGGTTAAAGAGGAAGTATATGGTATAGCGGATAGAGAACCAGGAGGAGACACATGCACACACGGTCCAGTGTTACAAAGAACATGCCAATCTGCATTGGTAGAGGGAATTTCTCCACCTGGGAATTCTCTAAGACAATAAAATCACAGGTTGGGCCCTTATCCTAATATTAGAAACAGAATCTAGCTGGATTATTCAATGAAGTTGTGTGTGGTAACATGGGTCTGAGTTTAGGAGGAGAATTTTTAGAGCACTCCATTTTCTGCATCACCATTTCTTCTCTTCCCCACCACCTCCCAAAAAGGTGGATGAGGAATTAGATGCTAAGCAAATGCCAGGAGAGCATGTAGAGAGCAGGGAATTCTTAATCTGGGGGGTCCATGGACCCCAAGATCTTAGGGCCTCTATGAACTTAAATGGGGTAAGAAATATATCTTTATACTAACCTTTGGTTTCTTCTGCAGTCCTATGGACTTAGGCATTTTAAAACATTATTCTGAGAAGGGGTCCATGAAAAAAAGGTTGACACTCCCCTTCACTGCTCATGAGGGAGAATAATAGGCTTTAGTTCCTGGAACAATGCCTGTTTGGGGGTCACATGGCCACTGCAGTGGAGTGCTTGGATGCATGACCATCACACGTTTATAGAGCCAGATAAACAGGTGTAGACATGATGCATATGAACATTAGAAGCATTTTTAAAATCCCAACAGAAAAAGGGGGTCTGCCTGCCCCTGTTAGTATAGGGACGACATTTCAGCAGGGCCAGACTGAGCTTAAAAAGAAGGGAATCCGTTATTCAGTCCTAAGGGTGTCTAAAGGGAGAATTCCAGACCTGCAATCGTAGCCAAGTGGGAAATTCCCTGGCCCTCGCACAGGCTCTCGGAGAGAGAAAGGAGAATCCAACCCCGGAGATGGAGGAGGAGGATTATGAACTCAAACTCGTCAGCTTCCATAAGAGATGAAATGTAACCTGGACCCAAGAGTGGCCTCCCTACCACTACAAATACCACTGGAAATGGGACAGAGAAGGAAAGTTCCTGGCCGCTAAGCCTCGCTTCCAGAAGAATGAGCTTGGCATGGTGTCTGCCACTCACCTGGTGAAGCCCGGGGATGGCCTCTGCTCCATACTCACTTTGGATAATCGGCTTCTGGTATAATTTATACCAGTTCTCAAATTGAGTGTTGACCTGCAGCTGAATCACCTCGAGGTGCCCAAAATCATGGTACCAGGAATAGTAGCTGTTTATACAGATCACATCCACGTATGGCGCCTAAGAGAAATTTTAAAAGCTCGCTTTTAGCCGGGTGTGATGGTGTACCCCTGGAATCCCAGCTGCCAGGGAAGCTGAGGAGAGGGCTAGCAGGTCTCTGAAGGTGAGGAGTTCAGAACTGTGGGGGGCAGGTCAGTCAGCATTGAGATTGAGCCCTTCCAGCCTGGATGCCATAGGGACACCTAGTCTTTAAAAAAAACAACAAAAAACTGCATTGCTTTCAGACTCACAAAATGTGAGGTGGGTTCAGAGCGACTGAAATTTGTAATAAGGCTGCCCCTCAACAGAGAAGTGCTGGGCAGTTTGGCCATGTGAGCTGAGCAGAGTAGTTTTCCTCCCCAGACTTTGCCTCCAAAGATTGCCCTGCTCCTGGTGGGCAGGAGATAGATCAGTAAAGGGCTGAAATAGGCTTTGCTTGTGCCCATCCTGGCCGGCCAGTGGAGGAGGGGGGCTGGCCAGGAGACAGAACAGAATACTGGGGGGAAGGGTTCAGGTCCAACTTCACTGGCAGCATTTTCTCCCCAGGGACCCTTCCCCCTGGATACTGTCCCACTTTGGAGTTTGGTGGTGAGGTTTCTGAACTGGAAGTCAGATTCACTAGTGAATGGAAGGAGGGGACTTCTTGGGGGGTGGACAGAAGGGGAAAAAGAAGTGAGCTGAAACGGTACCCCAGTCCTGGAGAGGAACAACTTTGATGTACGATTCCCCACCGTTAGCTTAATTAACATCATGTCTCTAATAAACCTGCTCATCTTGCAACCTGTGTTTGCCCTGATGTGGTCTGTCTTCTCCCAGTGATTGCTGTCCTCCCTGAACTCTCGGGCCACATCACAATGCAGGTGGTGGCAAGGCTGTAGGGGAGCCCTGGATGGGTGGGTTGGTCGGGGTGTGTGTTGTGTGTGTGTGTGTGTGTGTGTGTGTGTGTGTGTGTGTGTGTGTGTGTGTGTGTGTGTGTGTGTGTGTACATGGGGGTCCCTACAGCTGAAGGTCCAAGTGCCTTTGGAATGAGGTGAGGTTAGCAGGGCGAGCTTGGACCCATGGGAAGAGTTGGCCTGGAAGGGCCAGGGAAGGAGAAAAGCAGAACAGCATAAGGAATAAGGCATTTCTTATCTTGACAAGAGGATGGCTCCACAGTCCTTGAAGGTGGGGGTGCCCTAAGGGTGATAGAAGGGCCTGTATACTGGATAAACTATTTTCTTATCTACATTTACAAAACAAGGACTCATCAGCGGCATGATGATTCGTCTCTGGTCACTTCTGCTTTCTGATCCACTCCTAACTTGGGTGATATCTTATGAGGACAATACCGATAAAGCAGGGATGCTTCCCTTCCCTTCTTCACCATGCTGTTTTGTATGTAGGGTAGAAGAAGGCAATGGCAAACCACTCCAGTATCCATGCCAAAAACACCAAATGGAGTCACCAAGAGTCAGACACGACTCAATAACAACAAATATGGGCTGGGCTAGGGACCATTTTCCTCACCCCTGGTTTTAAAGATGGCGGGCGGCAGTGAGTGTGGGAAATACTGAGCTATGTGTAAGGCAAGAGACCCCCGGGGTCCAGCTACGGCTCCGTTGCTGGCCAGTTGTGAGACCAGGGCCAGCCACTGTCCGGGCCGTGTCCTCCTGTCAATGAAAGGATAGGCTAGGAGGTGATGGGTGATTTAGCCCCTTCAGCTGTAACATTCTATGAATGGACTCAGCGTGCCAGTTAGCTGGCCTAAGACCAGGCCACATGCCCAGTGCCCAGCTTAGGTCGTTGCCGTTAGGTCCCGCCACCTCCCCTTGGACGACTGGACGGTAAGCAGCACAGATTAGAGTGGAAGGACTGGAGCTGTTCCCTGGCCTCAGAGCTAGACTCTTCTGTCTTGGCCCCAGAATGTACAGATGTTGGCCATCTGGTTTTAGCCTCTGCTACTAAGCAAAAGTGAGCGAGCAGAAAACACGACGCCATCTCAGTGCTTACCCCGTGATCCACTTCAGGCTTAGAGTTGGACACAAAAGTCACAGGTCGTGTGGGGTCCAGGGCTTTGGTGTGGCCTATCACGGTCCTGGTCATGGCAGAAGACACATGGTGGCCCATCAGAACGGGAAGGGCTGCCGGTCCCTGCCTCTGCTTCCAGGAGTGGGCAAAGGCCCGCCTCCAGAAGCTCTAGCGGGGCAGAGTGGGGAGGGGGAGCAGAGGGTCTTCTGCTTTCCTAGAGTGGAAGCAGCCCAGAGTGGGTGACTCGTAGTGGGCTGGGAGCTAGGAAAACGCGGACTTGGTGCTCTCTGCTTAAAGCTGCCTACTAGGTGGAGCCCAGCCAGTGGCTTTTTCCCAGCTGTTCTGAGCAAGGGACCCCTCCCTTCCCTGCGGTGACTGTATGAAAGCCTCCCATAAGAATGTCTCTGCACTGATTAGGAAGTGTCAGTGCTAGAAAGGGTCTTTAGAGATCTTCTGGGCCAGCAGAAAAGCACTGGGCCTGGAGTCAGGAAGACCTGAGTTCAAATCCAACTTCAGATGCCTACTAGCTGTGTGACCCTGGGCAAGTCACTTAACCTCTGCTTGAGTTTTCTCATCTGCAAAATGGGGATGGTAGCACCTACTCCCCAGGGTTGTTGTGAGGCTCAAATGACATCTTTACAATAATAGGGGGAAATGGAGGCTCAGTGGAGAGAGGTGACTTGCCGGCTAGTGGCACTAGACTGCAGGCCAGTGACCTTTCCAGGGTTTCAGCTCACCTCATGGTGATGGATGGGCAGCTAGTAGCTGTCACCACTGTGACTGTGGTCTCCCTCCTTTCTCTCTCCCTTCCTTCCTTTTTTCTTTCCTCACTTCTCCCTCCCTCTTTCTTTTCTTTCTTTCTCTTCCTAGTTTATTTTAATTTTTATCGATAGCTTTTGTTTTTCCATTCCATCCATTTCCAAATTTATCCCTTCCTTCCCCAAGACCTTTGTAACAAGGAATAAAACCAAAGGTCCCTGAGGGGTAGGTGGTGAAGTGGGCAGAGTGCTGCCTCTGGAGCCAGCAACCTGGGTTCCAATCCAACCTCTCTGAGGCCGGTCACTTGCCCTCAACAGGCCTCAGTTGCCCCTTCTCTAAAATGAGAGGGGGCCCCTCCTGCTCTCCATCCAGGATGGTGCGTCATTTCACTTGCTAAAATAAATTGTACCAGATGACCCCTGGAGGCCCTTCTACCTTGGAATCCTTGGTCCTATGAATTAACCAATGCATCTGCTGAGTCTGACAGTATATGCAGTAATCCACACCCACAGTCTCCCACCTCTGCAAAGAAAGGAGGAAAACCTTTTTGTGAGGAAGGAAATATGCATTTATTAAGTACCTACTATGTGCCAGGCACTGTGCTCAGCACTTTACAGATATCGTCTCATTTCATCCTCACGATAACTCAGGGAGGGAGGTGCTATTGTGATCCCTACTTTTACAGTTGGAGAAACTGAGGGAGACAGCAGTCATGTGGCTTGCCCAGGGTCACATAGCTAGTCAGTGTAAGTTCCTATCCTCGCCACACCCCAGCTGCTCTTCTGAAGTTTTTAAGTTTATATTCTGGGAAGACTGCAGAATGCCTTAGTCTAGTTCTGACCAACCCTCCTCCAAACCTGCCCTTGGTTTTCACCAAAAGTCCTGAAGAGCAGAAGGAATGATCTCCGCAGAGGGTTGGGTGGCTCAGAGAAAGCCCCTGAGGCTGCCTGGGTGGCTGGCCCAGCCACAGACCCTCGACACTGTTGGCTCAGGCCTTTGTTCTGAGGGTGACTGTGGCCTCACCCTGGAGGGAAGGAAGCCCTTCCTTCAGAGGCCGAGCAGACCGGCCCATTTAGCATCAGCGGACAGTAGGCCAGGCTCTGTTTTTCACTGGTTTGTGACTCTCCTTCCCCCAAAAAGGACAAATTTATCTGATCCACAATTTTGCCTAAAGCTGGTACAACATTCATACAGAATTTCTTTTTCCGGGCCTGTTTCCTCCTGTAAAATGAATAAGTTACCTGTGAAATGATGACCCAGTTTGGCCTCAAGGAAGAGATAAGAAGACACTTCCCTCCCTCCTTTTCCAGAGGGAGGGGCCTGTGGGTATGGAATACTGCATGTAGTGCCAGACTTAGATGACATGGCTTGGTCAGTTTTGCTAAAATGTTTTTTTCTTTTAAAATTTCCTATATGGCAGGGGGGGATTCTTAACCTGGGACCCAGAACTTTAAAAAAAAATGTTTAAGAACTATATTTTGATATAATTGGTTTCCTTTGTATTTTATTTAAAAATTAAAAATTATAAATAAAATTATTTATTAAAAATTTTAAAAATCTGTAAATAATAAATGGTGATAAATAATACACAATTGGGAGGGTCCACAGGCTTCTTCAGACTGCTTAAAAGGGGTGGTGATATTTAAAGGTTAAGAACCCTCAATAAGTATATTAGGAGTATTAGGATATTTGGAAATAAAAGTAGTTTTAATTTTAAAAAATTGTTTTTTCATGTGAGGCAATTGGGGTCAAATGACTTGCCCAGGGTCACATAGCTAGTGAGTGTTAGGTGTCTGAGGCTGGATTTGAACTCAGGTCCTCCTGATTCCAGGGCTGGTGCTCTATCCACTGTGGTGCCATCTAGCTGCCCCAATTTTTTTAAATTTAATTTAAAAATTTTAAATATGTAAAAAGCTATCAATTAAAATTAAAACTCAAAAATAAAAACTGAGGTCATTAGACCATATGAGCTGTAACATTTATAAGTATAGGGCCATAGCTCTGCAGCTGGGAGGGACCTCTGAGGTCATCTAGTCCAAATTCCATATTTTATAACTGAGGAAAGAGGCCCAGGAAGGGTGTGACTTGCCCAAATGACAGCTAGTATTTATACAGCACTCTTAAGGTTTGAAAAACACTTTCTCTGTGTTAACTCACTTGATCTTCACAACAATCCTGAAGTCATGGGTGTTATTATTAACCCATTTTATAGAAGAGGACGTTGAGGCACAGCCAGGTTAAGAGACTTACCCAGGGTCACACAGCTTGGGAATGTCATCTGTGGAATTGGAACCTGGGGCTTCTCAACTCCCCACATTCTGCCCCGCAGGTGCTGCACACCCTCACCCATAGTATTGGGCCAGCCCTGAGTGCAGTGGCCGTGAGTCTGTTTCCCTTCTCTGCTGTCTCCACTCAATCTGAGATTCCTGACTGCAAAGCCTATGCTTCTCTGTCCCCAGAAGGAGAAGGCACTTGGAAGTTAGGTCATGGTAGACTGGAAACTTCTTGAGGGCAAGCTTTTTTGTCTAGCACACAGCAGGTTCCTAATACAGGCATCCTGATAGGTTGACTGGATCCCACTGAGCCCCCCCGAGAGATCCAGATGATGCCAGGACAGAAGCATGTTTCCTGTACCAATGGGCCCACTTGGGTGGGTGCTTCTGGCTCCAAGCAGACATCCCCAAGGCCCCCCTGAGGATGCCCACCCCACAGCTCCAAGCCTCGCCCCCATACTTCAAATAGTAGGCAGCAGGTGCCAGCTGGGAAGCGGGCTCGTTGGCCACAGACCACATGACCACAGCTGGGTGATTCTTGTCTCTCCGGACCAACTCCTCCATCACTTCTAGGTGGTGTTTCAGAGAGATGTTCTTAAAGCTGCCCCTATGGGGAAGAAGGGAGAGGAGTCAGCATCGGCCCAACGAACCAGGCATGTAGGATGATCACAGACAGAGAACTCAAGGAACCTCAGAGATCACTGAGTTCAACTCCCTCCTAATTTTACAGATGAGGAAACTGAGGCACAGTGACTGTCACATGGCTACGAAGTGGCAGGGATCCCCTGACCCCTCCCCTGAATGCCCCAGCATCCATCCCACTGCGCCAGGGGGCTCAGGAGGAGGACACTCACGGAAACACAATCCCCACGCCCGGACACTCGTCAATGACCACGATCCCGTATCGGTCACAGAGCTGCATCACCTCCTCGGCGTAGGGGTAGTGGCTCGTACGGAAAGAGTTAGCGCCCAGCCACCGGAGCAGGTTGAAATCCTTCATCACCAGAGCCCAGTCGAATCCCTTCCCACGGATCTAAGGGTGGAGATGATGGAGGAGGTTGCGGCAAGCCTGCCTTCCTTTTCCATGGGGGGTGGGGGCACATGTGCAGAGCCACTTGGGTGTTCCCCTGTATCTGCCTCATCACCCCACCAGTCACCCGACCTAGGCTTGACCCCAGAGACGGCACTAGCTGCACATATGGCCTTAAAGGGTGGCTGAGGGATGGCCCCACGCTGCTGTGCTCTGCTCCGGCTCCCGAGGGGAACTGTCCCTCTGCCTCCTACGGCCATCGCCCTAACTCAGCTGGACTCTCCTGATGGCCTCCTACGTGGCCTCCTTGCCTCCCATCTCCCTGTCTCTAATCTGTCTCTCGACACAGCTAGAGTCTCCCTAAAGCAGTCAGTCAGCCAGCATTTATTAAGCTCCCACTGTGTGCCAGGCCCTGGGGACACAAAGAAAGGCTTAGAAAAAACTCTGTTGAGTTTGTGAAGGGACGTCACGTAGGATGAATTTGGGAATGCAGCCCAGAGTCAGGTTGTGGAGGGCTCCAAATGCAAAGGAGGAACTTGGATTTGATCCCGGGGTGTTTACTGAGTAGGGGAGTGATAGGATGATTAAGCCTGCTCAGAAATCTTCCGTGGCTTCCTCATGTCAGTGGGATCTAGTCCAGCCTCCGCAGCCTGGATTTCGAGGCCATCCACAAGGTGGAAGGCCTCTCACCTGCCTTATAACCCACTCCACATTACTCCCTCCCACTGACGTTCTCCAGCTGAGCTAAACGGAGAGCTATTCCCTGTACTTCAGAATCTCCCACCACCATGCCTTTGAGAAGGCTGGTCCCCATGCCAAGCATGCAGTCCTCCTTGTCTTTGCCCTTCATATTTTTTTAGGCTCAGCTCAGGCACCGCCATCTTGGTGGGGCCTTCCCTCTTCTCTCTCCTCCTTTCTTAAATTTTGATCTCCAGTTCTGATCTCTGATCTCTCCTTTGCCCCCTTTACTCTCTTATATTGTAGTGACCTGGATACGTGGGATATCCCCTCAGGAGAACGTAAGCTCCTTGACTCAGGGACTGATTTGTTGTTTTGGGTTTGTTTTTTGTCTTGCTACCCCTGGGCCTTGTATAGTGCCAGGTTATTATTAGTAATGTTGTTGGGTTGGGTTGATGCTAAGATGTGGATGCCTTTGCTTTTATTTTGTTTTATTTATTTATTTATTTTTTAGGCGATTGGGGTTAAGTGACTTGCCTAGGGTCACACAGCTAGTAAGTGTCAAGTGTTTGGTCTGAGGCTGGATTTGAACTCAGGTCCTCCTGACTTCAGAGCCGGTGCGCTATCCACTATGCCACCTAGTTGCCCCTATATGCCTTTGCTTGTAGACTGACCTTCCCGCACACCCGTTTGCACCCCTCCCCCTGAGCCCATCTCTCACATCGGCGTCTTCATGCTTGTTGACCCCATGGAAATAGAAGGGTTTTCCGTTGATGAGAAACTGACTGCGTACGACCTCCACGGTGCGGATGCCCACAGGAAGGGTGTAGACGTCAGACACGATGCCGGCTCCTGTCTGTACCACGAGGGTCACCTGCCATTCCCAAAGCACAGGACGTGAGGGTCACAGGGGGCCTGTCCTAGGCAGCATCATCTGCTACAAAGAAGAACCAGCCCCTGGCCCGACTAAGATGTAAGGGTGGGTAGAGGGCGCGGTTGGTGCTCAGGCACCAGGGACCTGGGCCCAAAAGGATCAGAAAAAATTAAATGAGGAAGTCCCAGGCCCTGGTGGCCTCTACACCAAGATGCAAAGGAATCAGGCAATGTAGTCTTCCCACTGTCCACTCTGACCCTCTCCTTTTTCTAAGTGGTTTCTAAGTGGTTAGAAATGAGCCATCTCAATAGAAGGGAGGGAAGAAATAGAGGAAAGGGAAAGAGAAGGGAGAGGGCTGATAAAAGGGAGGGAAGACTGAGGGTGGTGCTTTAAAGCAAAACTCTAGTGAGGAAGGAAAGGGAGAAAGGAGAGGTGGGGGTAAAATGGAGAGAAAGACAGCAATAGCAACCATAATGGTGAATATGAATGGGATGATCTCTCCCATAAAATAGAAGCGGGTAGCAGAGTGGATTAAAAACCATAATCCTACAATATATTGTTTACAAGAAACACATTTGAAGCAGAGGGGATATGCACAGAATAAAGGTAAAAGGCTGGAGCAGAATATATTATGCTTCAGCTGAAGTAAAAAAAGCAGGGGTAGCAATCCTGATCTCAGACAAAGCAAAAGCAAAAATAGATCTTATTAAAAGAGAAAAGGACAGAAAGTACATCCTGCTAAAAGGCACCATAGACAATGAAGTTGATATCTTTACTAAACATACACACACTAAGTGGTATAGCATCCACATTCTTAGAGGAGAAGTTAAGGGAGTCATAGGAAGAAATAGACAGCAAAACTATACTAGTGGGGGACCTCAACCTCCCCCTCTCTGAACTAGATAAATCTAACCACAAAATAAATGAGAAAGAAGTTAAGGAGGTGAATATAATTTTAGAAAAGTTAGATATGGTAAACTTCGGGAGAAAACTGAATGGAGATAGAAAGGAATATACTTTTTTTCTCAGTGGTACATGGCACCTACACAAAAACTGACCATGTACTAGGTTATTAAAAACCTCACAATCCAATGCAGAAAGGCAGAAATATTAAATGCATCCTTTTCAGATCATGATGCAATAAAAATTATATGTAATAAAGGGCCATGGAAAGATAGACTAAAAATTAATTGTAAACTAAATAATCTCATCCTAAAGAATGAGTGGGTCAAACAACAAATCATATAAACTTGAATCAATAAATTCATTCAAGAGGATGACAATAATGAGATAACATACCAAAACTTATGGGATGTAGCGAAAGTGATTCTTAGGGGAACTTTTATATCTCTAAATGCTTATATGAATAAAGTAGAGAAAGAGGAGATCAATGAAGCACGCAACTAAAAAAGCTAGAAAAAGAACAAATTAAAAATCCCCAATTAAATGCCAGATTAGAAATACTGAAAACCAAAGGAGAGATTCATAAAATTGAAATTAAGAAAACTATTGAACTAATAAAACTAAGAGCTGGTTTTATGAAAACACCAATAAAATAGGTAAACTTTTGGTTAATTTGATTTTAAAAAAAAGAAAGATGAAAACCAAATTAGCAGTATCAAAAATGAAAAGGGTGAATTTACCACCAATGAAGAGGAAACTAAAACAATAATTAGGAACTATTTTGCCCAACTCTATGCCAATAAATTTGACACTCTTAGTGAAATAGATGAATATTTACAAAAACATAAATTGCCCAGACTAACAGAAGAGGAAATAAAATACTTAAATAATCCCATCTCAGAAAAAGAAACTGAACAAACCATCAATGAACTCCCTAGGAAAAAATCTCCAGGGCCAGATGGATTTACAATTGAATTCTAGCAAACACTTAAAGAACAATTAATTCCAATACTATGAACTATTTGGGAAAATAGGCGAAGAAGGAGTCCTACCAAATTCTTTTTATGATACAAATATGGTACTGACTAAACCGGGAAGAGTCAAAACCGAGAAAGAAAATTACAGACCAATTTCCCTAACGAATGGAGATGCAAAAATTTTAAATAAACTATTAGCAAAAAGGCTATAGCAACCTATCACGAGAATAATACACTATGATCAGGTAGATTTATACCAAGAATGCAGGACTGGTTCAACATTAGGAAAACTATCAGCATAACTGACCCTATCAACAACAAAACTAACAGAAACCATAAGATTATCTCAAGAGATGCAGAAAAAGCTTTTGACAAAATACAACACCCACTCCTATTAAAAGCACAAGAAAGCATAGGAATAAATGGAGTCTTCCTTAAAATGATAAGTAGCATCTACCTGAAACCAACAGCTAGTATTATATGTAATGGGGATAAGCTAGAAGCATTTCCAATAAGATCTGGGGTGAAACAAAAATGTCCATTATCCCCACTGTTATTCAATATGGTACTAGAAACTAGCTTTAGCAATAAGAGAAGAAAAAGAAATTGAAGGAATTAGAATAGGCAAAGAAGAAACAAAGCTATCATTCTTTGCAGATGATATAATGATACCGAAGGGCTATAAAAATGTGCATACCCTTTGACCCAGCAATAGCACTCCTAGGGCTGTATTACAAAGAGATCATAAAAATGGGAAAAGGACCCACATGTACAAAAATATTCATAGCAGCTCTTTTTGTGGTGGCAAAGAATTGGACATTGAAGGGATGCCCATCAGTTGGGGAATGGCTGAACAAGTTGTGGCATGTGAATATAATGGAATACTACTGTGCTATAAGAAATGATGAGCAGGTGGACTTCAGAAAAACCTGGAAAGACTTCTATGGACTGATGCTGAGTGAAGTGAGCAGAACCAGGAGAACATTGTACACAGTAACAGCCACATTGTGTGATGACTGACTTTGACAGACTTAGCCCTTCTCAGCAATACGAGGATCTAAGACATCTCCAAAAGTCTCACGATGGAAAATGCTGTCCACATCCAAGGAAAGAACCATGGAGTCTGAATGCAGATGGAAGCAGATGATTTGCTTTCTCTCTCTCTCTTTTTTTTTTTGCTTGTTTCTTCTCTCTCATGGTTTCTCCCATTGGTTCTAATTCTTTTTTACAACATGACTAATGTGAAAATAGGTTTAATGGGAATGTGTATGTTGAGCTGATACCAATTTACACACTGCCTTGGCGTACGGGGGAGAGGAGAGATGGGGAGAACATTTGGAACTCAAAATCTTATGGAAGTGACTGTTGAAAACTAAAAATAAATAAATTTTAAAAAAAGAAAGGGAAAAAACCTTACTTCAAATAAAAAAAAAAAAGAAAGAAAGAAATGAGCTATCTCAGGGCTAGAGTGGGTAAAGAGGTCGACTGGCAGTATGGTGGAGTGGAAAGCTGATTGGCCTTGGAGTCAGAAGGGAGCTGGGTTCAAATTCTGGTTCTGATATCTGCTAGCTGTGTAACCCCGGGCAAGTCACTTAACCTTTAGAGGCCTCGGTTTCCTCAGCTGTAAAATGAAGGGGCTGTGTGTGTCTGCCCAGTTCTAAACTTTTGATCTACAGCAGAGGTGTCAAATGAGGCCCAGGGCCCCTCCCCAGCCCCTCCAGAAACAGAAGGACATGTAATTGGGAAATGTTTAACCCGGTAAATAAAAATACAACATTGGTAATGTTAATTGGTAATTTTCTAAGCCAGTATTCAGCAGGCAGGGATCTATTTCTACTTGGAGCAGGGAGGAAGGGAGGAAGCATTTATAAAGCACCTACTGTGCGCTAACATCTTACAAATATGATCTCATTTGATCCTCACAACAACCCTGCAAGGTGAGTATTGTTATTATTCCCATTTTATGGTTGAGAAAAAAGAGGCAGACGGCGGTTAAGTGACTTGTCCAGGGTCACACAGCTAGTATCTAAGGCTAAATTTGAACTGAGGTCTTCCTGACTATAGCCCCAGTGCTCTGTCCACTGCACCACCTAGCTGCCCGCTGATTTAGAGCAATCAGTGCAATCGGTGACACCTCTGGGCCTTAATTTCCTCATCTGTGTAATAAGACGGCTGCATAATGAAATAGGCTGGCCATCTTCAGACAGAGAGGGGATGGACTCAGGGGTAGATGAAGCCGTATTTTCTGGAATTAGACCAGGAATTCATTTCGCTTGACTAGGAATATTTGTTACAAACGTTGTCTTTTTTTTTCTTCAATGGTGGTTCCAGAAGGGGAGGTGGAAAGGAGAGAAAGTAGACATTTAGTGAAAAAACTTAAAATAAGAAAGTTGAACTGGATGAAGGCCACCTCTAGACCTAGCAATCATCCAGCGACCTCCCTGGGCCTCCTCACTTTCCGCTTCTGGGGACAGGAATTCTTAGCATTTCTTAGATTTTGTTGTGTTCCCAATTATATGGTCTTCATGTGATGTAAACATCAGCTCTCATTGGAGGCCTGAGGCATGAGCTGGGAATCGTTGGCCAAGGACATTCCCCTGAGGGCCTCCTTTCCCTACCAAGACTTCTAATTGGGCCTCCAAATGCAGCATGGAGGACAGATGGGAAGCTTCCCGTCTGGTGCAGAGATGTTACCTCAAGTGAGTACAGGTAGGCAGGCTGCTCGTGCATCAGATAAGGCCACCAGAGCTGGGCGCTGGGCACTGCTAGCTGGCCCCGGGCCCCCGTTCCCTTGGCCACCACTCTTCCTTCCTTGTCCCAGAGAAGAAGCTCCAGCTCAAAGTTCTCATTGCTTTTTACCACGACCTCGTAGTTCACCAGCCCTGGAGGAGACGAAGACACATCAGAGCTGTGAGAGCAACCCTCCAAGAAAGAGATCCGGGAGCAGGCCCTCTGGCACCCACGGTCCTGGGCTTGGGCTGCATGATTTAAGTGGCATCTGGATACAGGAGAAAGGGCCTTCCTAGGGTCAGGGGACCTGGAGAGCCCAATGGAACAGTGGTGGAGGCCATTGGCCCTCTCTGGCCCTCAGCCCCTGCTGACTGCTTCATCTGCCTCGAGCATTCTGTGATCCTGAGTCAGACTTCAGGGAGTCCTGGAGGGGGTGTAGAGACCCCCAGGGTGGCCCTTAGGGATGTCTCTGAATAGGAGCGGTGCCCAGCTTCAGGCCTGGAGGTGGGCATGATGTAGCCAGAGGCTGGAAATGGATCAGAGACCTTCCCTCCCCACCCCCAGTGGCCGCCCAGGGCCCCTCACCTGTGCCCTGGTCTACACTGGTGGTGACCGTGATGTCATCGATGTAGGAGACAGGGGTGGTGTAGAGGAAGACAGAGCGGTGCAGCCCAGCATAGTTGAAGAAGTCAAAATATGTTTTCTGAACAAAATAATCCTTGGGATACCTGGGTTTTGAGGGGAAAGTAAAGGAGCGCTTTCAGCCCTTCAGCAATCAAGTCTCGGTCAGCTCTCTCTGTCTCTTACTTCCGTATGGAGGGCCTGGCCCAGGGGTCAAAGGGCTAACCCTGAAGCAGGAGAACAGGGGGCTGTGAAGTTTATACCTGGGGCTGCTAGGGGCATCATGGTGCACAGAGTCTGGCGTCAGGAAGACTCATCTTCCTAAGTTCAAATTCAGCCTTAGATACTAGCTGGGTGACCCTGGGCAAGTCCCTTCACCCTGTTTGCCTCAGTTTCCTCATTTGAAAAATGAGCTCGAGGAGGAAATGGCAAACCACTCCAGTGTCTTTGCCAAGAAAACCCCAAATGGGGTCATGGAGAGTTGAACACTACTGTAATGACTGAACGCCTTGGGCAAGTCCCTTGTCTTTGTGGGCCTCAGTTTCCTCATCTGTCAAATGAGGAGGTCTGACTCACTGGCTCTGGGGTCCCTTCCAGCTCTGGATCTGTGCCTCCGTGAAGGCTCGTGTGTTCCCCAAGAGCCCGGCCCAGGCTTAGGGAGGGTAAGGGGAGCCTGCTTACCGGGAACGGTCCGTCATGTGCTCAATCATGCCCGGCGGCAGCGTGTGGAGCGTGAGGGTGTTGTTGATGGCGATGGTGATGCGATTTGGCTCCCCGGGATTGGACTGGACCAGCTTGCTGATGTCGACTTCAAAGGGGAGGTGGCCACCCTCGTGCTCAGTCACATGAACCCCATTCACCCACTGCAAACAAGCAGGAAGGGGAGTGGAGATGAGAGAGGGGGAAGGACAGTGAGCAGGGTGGGGGCCACCAATCTGCAGGTGCCCTCATGTACACATGAGGTCAGAGACGTGCACACACACACAATAAGCTGGTCTTGTGTGTTTCACAAAGGTGATGCAATACCCACACTGACTGAAGAATGGCTCATGGTGAGACATGAATATTACTAGGGCACAAGAAACAGTGAGCAAAGAAGACTTAGGTAAACTGAGGCAAACAGAAGGGAGCAGAGCCAGGAGAATGATGTTGACAAGAGCTTGTTCAATCGTGTCTGACTCTGTGACCTCATGGACCGTGGCATGCCAGGCAATACTGTCCATGGGCAAAGCTCCTGAAGTGGTTTGCTATTTCCTTCTCTAGCAGAGACAGAGGTCAAGTGACCCATTCAGAGTCACACAGCTAGTCAGTGTCCAAGGCTGGATTTGAACTCAGGTCTTCCTGATTGCAGACCAGCACTCCATCGGCTGAGCCACCCAGCTGCCTCCTTGTAGAGGAGAACTACAATACAAATGGAGAATGACCCCTCCCCCAATCACACCTGAATGTTGTCTCCTCATAATGCCCAAGCTTGACCTCAAAGAAGAGATAGGAGAACACATCTCCTTCCCTTCTTTGCAGATATGGGGGGCTCTGGGTATGAACACTGCATACACAGCCAGCCTTGGCCAACACGTCAGTTTTGCTGAACTGGCTTTTTCCTTCCTCTTTCTGATCCTTTCTGAGAGCTGGCTCTCAGGGTGGCAGAAGGGACATCTTAGGAAATCAAGAGGATGTGAAAGTAAAAACTAGCAATGATTCTTTTTGTTTTTAAGGAACCAGCCCTATCTGGGAATTTAAGGAGTGACAATAGATTCTTCTACCCGGGCAGGGCTGCTTTCCCTGGGTTTCTCACATTCAAGTGACTCTTTAAGGAGAAAGTGGGCCTGGGAGGATGGCCCAGGAGACAGGAGCCAATGTTCTGACAAAGGCCCCGGGAGACTCTGAACTCAGGGCAGGCCCTGTGAGGACAGGACCCAGAGCAGCCTGGTTGGCACACCACACTGCTATCGGGAGCTTTGCAACAGAGCGGCTTGCTTAGCATCACACAGCCAGTAGGTGTTGGGAGTGGGACAGACAAATAGACAGATGGGGACACACACACACACACACACACACACACACACACACACACAGAGTGTGTGCTCTCTTCTTGCTCCCTTAACCCCAGCCCTGGTGCTCACCACAATTGTGTAGTAGTGGGCACTGCTAATTCTTAGCATCACCCTGGTGCCCGGATCCTGGGCCCAGCTCTGAGGCACCAACACTTGCCGCTCATACCACACCCAGCCGATGAAGCTGTGAAGCTTGCGGTCCTGGCCCAAGTCGTTAAAGCTGGAGGGGACGGGCATGTCTAATACAGGGCCCGACTGGTGGGAGGCAGAGAGGAAGAAGAAATGGTTATGACTCTCTTTGTTCCTATGGAGGAGCCTGAGACTAGGAAAGACCACTGGATTGGTAGTCAAAGGATCTGGGTTTGCTATCTTGGTAACAAGTCATCTAGGCCTTTTCTAAATGGCAGAATTTGGGCTAGATCAGAGGTTCTGAACCTTTACTGTGGCCATGGACTTCGGTGGCAGCAATCTAGGGAAAATAAGAGGGTCTCTGCTCAGAAGCATAGTTTCAAATGCATAAAATGAAACTGAAACCAATTATATTGGAATATAGTTTTCAAAATATTTTAAAAATAAGTTTATGGACCCCCAGGTAAAACCCCCTGAACTGGATGACCTCTAAGTCTCCCTCCTCTAGCCGAACATTTTCTAGGGTAACCCAGGGGCAATCTCAGGTTCTCAGGCAGTACTCACACCTGCCCTGCCCTGTCCTGCCCACAAGGCTCTTTCCATGAACCTAAAGCTTGTGCCCAGGGAACCTTTGTCTCTGATGTGCAGGAGGGGTCAATTGAGATAAGTGTGCCTGGAAGCAGATGGCTGCAAAACAGGATCTTCTGTTCTTTTTAGGAAACTAAGATTCCAGCGCTGAGGGTTGTTGTCTGACTCTGGGATTGAAATCAGCACCACCTAGCCCTTATTAGCTCTTTAGAATTGATGTGTGACACTGGCTAGCTTTTTGGCTTGGATGCTGGCATAGGAATGAGGGAAGATAACCATGGGATAGAATGCAGCTCCAGAGGAGGGGGTCAGTTCTACCTGGCTGAAACCAGGCCTTGCCAGACAGAGGCCAAAGAGGAAGATTCTTGGCTGAGTTAAAGGCCAGGAAGTTGTGTAGAGGACCTGAGCACTGGTTTGGATTCACAGGTGTGAATCAGTCCCATAGAAGAGTCTTGGTCTAGGGGGTTCAGGAGCTCTGGGGTCTAGTCCCATCCCTAGGATGCTAACTCTGGGTGACCTTGGGCAAATCACTTTGGGCCTCAGCTGTCCCTTCTTTTAAGAGAAACTGGAAGGAGAAGGTATCGAAAGTCCTTTCCAGACCCAGTATTCTATAGTTCTCTGACTGATGGCTGCCTCATATACTTACCAGCTGTATGACTCTGGGTAAGTCACACTTCTGTGGGCATACTGTATTTTTGACTCCAATATAATATATATGTCCCAAAAGTCTAAGTAGAGAGTCCAAGACTCTAATATAGTACATATGTCCCCAAAGTCTAAATATATGGTCCAAGACTCTAATACAATATATATGTCCCCAAAGTCTAGATATAGAGTCTCTAATATTATAGACATATGCCCCAAAAGCCTAAATAGAGTCCAAGACTCTAATATATGTCCCAAAAATCTAAATGTAGAGTTCAAGACTGTAATATAATATATATGTCCCAAAAGTCTAAGATTCTAATATAATACATATATCCCAAAAGGCTTAGTATAGCTTTAACCTTTAAAAAATTATTGAATTAAAAATTCTTTATCTCTCCAGTGATTAGCATGGTACCTGGCATGTAACAGGTACTTGGTAAGTATTTATTGGATTGAAAAAAAATTAAGCCATTAAAGCTTAAGATTGAACTGAGACTTTTAGAATGCCTGCTATACCAAATGGCAGTTGCAATTATTAGTATCTCAAAGCTTGGAATCTACTAAAAGAAGGAGAAAGCAGTGCAAGGCAAAGGGAGCAGGTCCAGAATTCTAGCTCCCCACTGGCCAGTAGACTGATTAGATCCTGCAAATTGACTTACAGGTGTGAATCAGTCCCACAGCAGTCTTGGACTAGGGGGTTCAGGGGCTCTGGGGTCTAGTCCCATCCCTAGGATGCTAACTCTGGGTGATCTTGGGCAAATCACTTTGGGCCTCAGCTGCCCCTTCTTTTAAGAGAAACTTGAAGGAGAAGGTATCAAAAGTCCTTTCCAGACCCAATATTCTGTAGTTCTCTGACTGATGGCTGCCTGGCACATAGTAGGCCCTTAATAAATGTTTACTGACTGGCTGATGTCCCTGTCAGAGAGAGAGAGCAGACAGGGTTTTCTATCGGATCTCACAAAGCTGGTCTCTGGAAAAAATGAGCGGTAAATAAGATTGAATCAGGAAGTAGGACCCATTTCCTCTCCCCGACACATATATTCCCTGCCTCTCTTCCTCAGCTAGGACGAGTGGAAAGAAAAGTCTCACTCAAGATAGTGAATGTGCATATGGGGGAGAGAGGAGCACATGACCAAGCCCGTACCATCTACGCTTCCTACTTGAGCCCCTGCTGCACTGGCTTCTAGAGGACACACTGGACAGCCCTTGGCAAGTGGCTCTGGGCTTCAACTCCCCCTCCCCTGCAAAATGCTGGGAGACCTCGTTCCAACTCTGCTAGCCTCAGTTTCTTCCTCTGTGAGATGGGCTTAGATGACTTCTGAGGCTCATCCTGGCTCTGACACTCTATGGTTCTCTAGGGTTCCATGCTCTGCTTCCCATCTCTGCAGAAGGGAATAATGGGTTCCTGGGAGCCCAAAGGCCAGCCCCTCTACTTTTTCTGGGTTCCTCAGTTCCCCCCGCTTTCACCCCACATTTGCCTGCACCCTTGTGCTCTCTCCCTTATCCCACTTCCCCTTTCTTTCTTCCTTCTTCTCTGTCATCTGCCTCCTCCCTGCCCTCATAATTCAAGTCTCTAAAGCTTAGAGATAACTAAGGCCATTTTAAAGAGGAGGAAACTGAGACCCAGGAGTAGCGGCAGAGTGTCTTTTGGCAGCAAGGCCTCTTTCTGTGGGTCACACTGCTGGAGGATGGAGGCTGTGATGGAGGATGGTGAGGGAGAAGAACCTGGAGAAAGGGCGAGCCAACAAGGAGCATTCAGCTCCTAGGAAGCCAGGTGCCAAGTCAGTGAGGGGGCCCTTCCATTCTTCCCACAGGGGTCCAGAGCTTCTAGGCTTTACCTGATAGGAAACTGGCAAACTCTGATCCACCCTCCCCTGGGCAGTACTCAACCATCCCCAGAAAGACAAAGGTCATAGAATCAAAGATCTGGAGGTCGAAGGTACTTCTGATACCATCTATTTCAATTCCCTCATTTTATACAGGAGGAAGCCAGGTTCAGGGACTTGCTTAAGGTCTCACAGATGGTCAGAGCTGGGCTGGATTAGAACTCAGGCTCTCAGATTCCACGTTCAGAGTGACACCAAGCTTCCCAAATTTACAGGAAAATGAAAACAGGCAATCCGATTAGAAGCTACACTAAGGCAAAGAGGGAAGCTCGGAATATTCTGTTTAGAGCTGGAAGGGGCCTGAGCCGCACTGGTCCAACATCCCCACTTTAGAGAGGGGCAGCCTTGTCCAGCCCTGGGCAGAGCCCGGTTCTGTGCCTTGTTCACAGATGGCAGTCAGCCTCAGGCTTTCCTAAGGGCTGCCATCTTCCAGGAGGGGCAGAGGAGAAGGAGCATGGGTGGTGTGGTTCTCCCTGGCCTCCCAGGGGCCTGCCCGCCCCCTCCCCTTCTTCCCCAGCCCCCCTGGGCCTCGCCCTGCTCGCTCCCCCCCAGGGGTCCCCGGGGGTCACCTCCCGCAGGGGCCTCTGATACCACCGCTCCAGAAAGCCCTGGTTCCTGTCCTCAGAGAAGTCGGCTCGGAAGTCCCAGAGGCCATTGAGGTCCTTGCGCTCCCGGCTCGGGGTCTCCTGGGGGTAGAGCATCCCTCCCTCCAGGGCCAGTGCCCGGCAGCAGAGGGCAGCCCACAGGGCAGCTGCCCAAGTCACCCAGAGCGTCCGGGCCATGCCTCCCGCTACTGCATTCAGCCCGGCATCCGGTGTCTTTATTGGCTTAGGGTGGAGGAGGAGGAGGAGGAGCCACTGTGGGAGGAGAAGGGGAATGGGGGGTCACATGGAGCTGGGTGGGCCATCTTGGTTAAGGGCAGGAGCGGGGCCCAGGGAGCCTGTGGCCTGCAGGAAATGCTTCCTCTGGCCACCAGGGGGAGCAGCGATCCCAGCAGCAGCTCACCCACGTGCCCACGTGGTCTGAGCTGGGGCCAGCCAGGCTCCCGGGATGCCCTCTGCAGAGACCTGCCTAGGGATCCCCATCCGTGTGGCTGGCCCCCGAAGGCCTCCCCTAACCAGGCAGCCCCCTCTACCTTTAGACAGACAGTGTGGATTGTTAATCAGACATGTATTAAATGCCTGCTATTGTTGTACCGAGAAGTCAGAGAGGGATACCCAGACGTGATTTAAAATGTGAATTTATTGGCGCGGCTGCAAGGGGTATGCACACCCAAATCAAGCAGCCCCGGTCAGGGGTCGAGCTAGGGTTTATGTGGAAAAGAGCATGGCAAAGAAATCTCAGGAACACTGATGAGGTAATCCAAAGGTGCAGGTGTGTTGTGGGGCTGGGCGTGGGTGGCTATGTATGGGAAAGAACAGGGAGTATACCGGACAGGGAGGGAGATGACAGAGGTATGGCTCTTTGGAGTCTGGCAGGAGGAAGAGTCCTTGGGCTGGCCAAGGACAAAACTCCTCAGGCTGGGCAAGGCACCCCTCTCCCTCTATCTTGATGAGACAGTGCTCTGCAACAAGGGAAAGCTTTCTTGCAACACAGGAACTTACTAAGGAATTGGGAGGCTTCCAGAGACATGATAGCTGTACCAGGGGGGACAGATAAGGGTCATGCTGAGCTATGCAAGAGTCCATTTCTCTCTTGTTTAGATTTAGGAGGAGAGAGGTCAGGAATTTCTGTTTTTCATGGCTTAAAGGGCCCTACTACCTAAATGGTAAAATAATATTCTGCATTACACTGTGTGCCAGGCATATCTCCCAGCCCTGGGGTTACAAAAAGAGGCAAAAGACAGTCCCTGCCCTCAAGAAACTTACAGTCTAATGGGGAGATGACATGCGAACAAAGCAAGCTATATACAGGAGAAAGAGGGACTAAGGGGGTGGGGAAGGCTTCCTGTGGAAAGTGGAATTTTAGTTGGGAGTTAAGGGATTTAAGTAGCCAGAGTGGGGAGGACAAAGTATTCCAGCCATGGAGGACAGCCAGAGAGAATGCCTGGAGCTGAGAGATGGAGTGTCTTGTTCATGGAACGGCCAGGAGGCCAGAAGACTGGATACTGTAATGCAGAACATTATTTTATCATTTTAGGTAGTAGGGCCCTTTAAGCCATAAAAAAAAAGCAGAAATTACTGCTTAATCTTACCCCAGATCTCTTTCCTCCTCAGTCTAAACAATAGTGAAATGTACTCTTTGCATAGTTCAGCACAGCCTGTACCTCCAAAGCAAATGGAGAAAAAAGCTTGCAACAGAATTGCTTTAGGGAATTATGTTTATACCAGAGACCAGGACACCTGGTCTAGTTTATGTGGTCTCTGACCTGTAATGATGGGGTGCTCGGGTGCTTGCGCTTGTACTTGTGCCCCAATTTCTCACTCCTCTCAGAAACACTGTCTCTGACAACCACCCCCCAGCCCAAGGACACTGTGCCTAGCCCGTTATTCATGCATGGGCCTCACCATGACCCTTATCTCCCTCCCTGGTACAGCTACACAGAGCTGGGCTGCTCAGGCCCCAGCTCTCATGTTGCAGGCTGAGAGGTTGAGAGATTGTGACCCCTCAAAGACTGGAGTACAGGACAGGCCGTCTGGAAGGAATTCACAGACTCAAGCATTCTTTAATTCAAGGTGGCAAAGATTTATTGTTGTGCTTTTCAGCGGGCAAGGATTCTTAAAGGATCCTGCAGCCTTAGAGAGGTACAGGTAAAGTTTATATAGGATAAATGCAATAAAACATATGTCAAATATGCTAACTAGGGGACTCAGGGTGGGATTAGGGAGTGGTTAAGGAGTGGTCAGTTCTCAATTGAAACTCAAGAAAAGTCCCATTATTCAAGAGAGTATCTGGTCCTGGACATCCTGGGCCCAGTGATAACAAACAGGAAGAATACCGATCAGCTCTATCTGGCCCTGGAATTTGCTGACACAGGAAGGGGTGTTTTTAGTTCGCTCAGAGAGAAAAAGATTAATTTAGGTTTTTGGCCCTTATTGGGGCTCAATTGATCTTAAATGATTATCAAGGGACAGTGTTTCTGAGGCTAGGGAGAAATTGGGGTCCAAGTACAAGCACCTAAACATAAGCACCCAAGCATAAGCACCCAAGCACCCCAACACTCAGATCATGCCTCTGGAAGCCTCCCAATTTCTCAGTAAGTTCCTGTCTTGTGAGAAAGCTTTCCCTTGTTGCAGAGCATTCTCTCATCAAGACAGAGGGAGAGGGGTGCCTTGCCCAGCCCAAGGACTCTTCCTCCGGCCAGACTACAAAGAGCCACACCTCTGTCATCTCCCTCCCTGTCCGGTATACTCCCTGTACTTTCCCATCCCTAGCCCCACCCCCCACCCCCAACACACCTGCACCTTTGGATTACCTCATCAGTGTTCCTGGCATTTCTTTGCCATGCTCTTTTCCATATAAATCCTAGCTCGACCCCTGATGGGGGCTGCATAATTTGAGACTTCCCCTTGCAGCCGCCCACTACAATAAATCTTTAAATTTTGTTTAGGTCTCTGTCTCGCATCTGTTCCAGCACAACAATACGAGTCTGGCACAAAGGTGTAAGAAGACTGGGAAGGTGTGTGTGTAGGGGATGGGCAGGTTACGAAGGGCTTTGAATGCCGAACAGAGCATTTTGTATTTGTTCCTAGAGGCAACAGGAAGCCTTGGAGTTTGAGCTGGGAGGCCACAAGGTCAGACCTGTGCCTTTAGGAAAATCACTTTGGTGGCTGAATGGAGGATAGATTAGGGTGTGGAAAAATCTGAGGGAGGCAGACCCCCCTTCAAGCTATTGCAATAATCCACTGTGAGGTGGTCAGGGTTGGCACCAGAAAAGCAACCACCCTGTCGGGGTAGAGAGACAGGGCATGTTTGAGAGAGGCTGCTAAGGTGAAATCAACAGGCCTTGGCACCATACTGGACATGGTGGGTGGTGAAAGATATGGAGGAATCCAGGATGACACCTAGGTTGTGACCCTGAGGAATTGGGAGGATGGTATTGCCTTCTATAGTAATAGGCAAGGTGGGGGTGGGGGCAGGAAGACAGTTTAGGGGAAAGCTAATGAGTTCAGTCTTGGACATGTTGAATTTGTGATGTCTACTGGACAGCCAGTTGGACGTGCACATTTAGCAGAGAGATTGGGGCAGAACAGATAGATCTAAGAATCATCAGCATAGAGATGGTAGTTAAATCCATGGGAAATGATGAGCTCACCAAGCAAAGTAATATAAAAGGAAAAGAGAAGCGAGCCCAGGAGAGACCCCAGGGGGACGCCTGTAGTTAGAGGGCGTGATCTGGAAGAGGATCCAGCAAAGGAGACAGAGAAGGAGTGGTCAGAGAGGGAGGAGGAAAACCAGGGGAGACTAATGCCCCGAAACCCTAGAGAGAAGAGAAAAGAGTGATCAACAGTGCCAAAGCCTCTAGAGAGGCCAGGGAGAGTGAGGCTAGAGAAAAGACCATGGGATTTGGCAGCTGAGAGGTCATTGGTAACTTTGGCGGGAGTAGTGTCAATGGAATGATGAGGTCAGAAGCTGGATTTTAAGGGGCTAAGAAGAGAGTGGGAATCCCAAAAGTTTTGATATGTTGTCTCAAAATCGTTTTTTAACAGAATTATCCACCACTTCTATGTTCTTTGACCCACCCATTCTTTAGAATTAAACTACTTAGTCTCCATTTAATTTGAATGCTTTCTTCAAAGGCCTCATTCATATTTTAGTGTGTTATCATCAATAAAGAATATGATTAATATTGCTGATTTAAAAAAAAAGAGAGATAGTGGAAAGAGAAGAAATGGAGACTCCTAGTGTAGATGGCCTTTTTGAGGAGTTTAGCCACAAAAGGCAGAAGAGGCATAGGAGGAGAGTTAAAGGTAATGGAAGCAGCCTGTGGGGTTTTTCTAGGTTGAGGGAGACATGGGCATGTTGGTAGGCAGTAGGAAATGAGCCAGGAGAGAGGGAGAAATTGAAAATAAGTAAAAGAATGGGGATGACGGGTTGCGGGGGGGGGGGTTGTGAGAGAAGCAATAGGAAGCCACTGGAATTTATTGAACAGGGAAACAATAGATGGATTGGAGAAAAGAGAATTGAAGGCAGGGAGTCCTGGTAGGGAATTCACTGATGAAGTGGATTTGGGCTCACATTCATTTGCCTATGTTCAAAAAGTATTTAATCAGCCAACCTTGTGTGCCAAAGATGGTTAGAAATAACCCATAGCTCTGAAAGTCTCCATCACCAGCTGTTTACAAGATATAATTTAAGTTATCCTTAACCAACAGAATAAATTACACAGTGAGATAAATTATAGTTGTTGTTATTCAGTCATGTCTGACTTCATGATCCTATTTGGGATTTTCTTCGTAAACATACTGAAGTGGTTTGCCCTTTCCTTTTCCAGCCCATTTTATAGATGAGGAAACTGAGGCAAACAGGGTAAAGTGACTTGCCCAGGTTCACCCAGCTAGTAACTGTCTGAGGCTGGATTTACACTCAAGTCTTCTGACTCCACTTTACCATCTTGCTGCCTTAGTTGCAAAACTCAGGATAAAAGTTCACTTGAGAGATTGCTTCATTAGACATAGCAATAAAGTACAACTCTTGACATACCCTTGGAAAATAATTTTCTTTTTTTTGGTGAGACGATCGGGGTTCAGTGACTTGCCCGGGGTCACACAGCTAATATGTGTTAGGTGTCTGAGGTTGGATTTGAACTCAGGTCCTCCTGACTCTAAGGCCAGAGTTCCATTCACTGCACCACCTAGCTGCCCCAGAATAGTTTTCTTAAAACCGTTCAATCCTTC